CTTAAACAGTGAACAAACTAACATTTTGGATTTACATGATGTCCAGCAAAATTTGGCTAGTCAATTCAAGGATAATTCCAGGACATTCTAGATAAAAATTCTGATTTTCCTAGGATTTATCCCATCGATTAATTGTCATTATTTAATTGATTTTCATTGATTTGCACTTATTATATGCTTTATATTTAAGTTAGGATTCTATACCATAGTAATGAATTAAAACGCTAACAAATTTGAAACAATATTATTTATTGCTTCATAAATAATATCAAATGAACATTCCGTCAACACAAACAATTTGTCTACTACCTATGTTCTATTTTAGATGTTCATTAAATTCAAGTTTCTCATTTTCTTTTGGTAACTTATTGCATCTTTAAAGGAGGACTTATACTCAAATCACAATTTTTCTTCTTATTTTTTTTCTTTTTTCATGCCCTGATTTTTTTTAGAAAGAGTAATAAATTCCAAGCAAGCCCTAAAATTTTAGAGGTTTTCCACATTGATAGAAAAGATTGGCTAAATGGAATAGCATTTTTAATTGAGTGTAGCAGCCAATGTTTGATTGCATTAGCCAATCAAAATCCTATACTGACATTGCGGATAGACTAACGCAATCAAAAATTGACTGTTGCAACCAAAAATTGGCTGCTACAGTCAATTAAAAATGCTATGCCATATTTTACCATCCAATCTAATTTGCTGCAGCAGCCAATCTTTTCTTTCAGTGTAGGAATTTCCCAGAATATATAAAATTCCAATATAATTCCAGGATTCAAGAATATTCAAGAATCGCTGGACACCATGATTTATTGCTTATTGCGTCTCTGCCAGTGATTGGTCGATTCATTTACTGTCTTAGAGGCTGTGCGCAATCAAAGGAATAAGAAACAGGAAATAAAGAAATAAGAATTTCCATTTATCAGAAACTGTGTATTCTATACATGGTTTCTGATAGACTGAAATTCTTATTCTTTGTTCCCTATTTTATTCTACGTAGCTCTTCACTGCTTTACATTTTTTTGTATGCCATAACCACCTTTAGATTATAACACATAAAATACATAAGCATAGAGTACATGGATTAGCGAACGCAACAGTTGAGCGCTTGTTGTTACTGATGTATAATATTCTTTTAGAGCATCCAATCAGAATTTTAGATCCAAAGGAATACATTAATAACAGCGAGCGCTCACTCAACTGTTGAGTCTACTGAACGCAAAATGCGCAAGTATAGCACAACTAGCATAAAACAATGGACCAATGAAAATGTTATGTAAATCAATATAGAAACTTTATGCTAGATGTTTATTGAGCCAGATAATTTTATTTACCTATGCTATGCATTTTGTGTGCTATGCTCCACAAATTAAAAAAAAAGAAAGAAGAAACAAATATAGAGATAATCGAATAATCACGACTGATAAAAGAAGCTGATAAAACGATTCGTCATTTAAAGCTTAGTAATGAGAAATAAACACAACGCGGAGCATGTTAAATTCTTTAATTAGCGAAAAGACGAGAAATTCCATCCGAATTTCAGACGAGTTCGCTTTTACGAAACTCGGAATTGGGTTAGCCGCGCGGAATGCATTCGGGGCTGAAAGTAGTTCTTCGCGAATTGTTGTCGGACAATGCACTGTGACAATACCGCTTCGGCGAACGATATAATGCTGATTGCGCAACACAGCTCGCAATAACGCACTCGTTCGCTCGCTCGCTTGCTCGTTCGCCTTTAAGACAATCATTAACGTGTCGCACGCCATACACGTGTCCTCGACCTGAACATAAGGGTACGGACTCCTTAATTAACGCGTCCTTTCAAAAATGGTGGCGCACCAAGCGAACTTCTATTATATCGATTTTGCCGCCTACGTGCCACCAGTGCAATTTCGTTCAATCTCTATTTTTATCCGTGGAATTATTTTATCGCGGCATTGTTTTCGGTTATAACGAATTACCGGGCAATTTTTATAAATGTATATATAGTTGAATTATCTCTTAATTGCGACGTATTAACTTTTAATTGCGTTGCTTCGTAATTGGCTACCCGGAGAAAGAATTACCGTACAAAAAGCGCTTGTAAATAATAGACATCATTTGGAAAACGTACATTCCAGAGTTTTCTCTCCACTTGTAATGTTTTTTAAATTAAAAATTTACGATTGGCCTAAATAAAAATTGTGAGGAATTACATTAATGTAAAGAAATATCTATTTAACAAGTAGAAAAAATATTTTCGTTAATATAATTCAGTTTTTTTAAATTTCGAATAATATATAAATTGTTAGTACCAATGTAATTAAATTAATACTTCGTACGTGCGCGAAACGAAAACTCGCAGCACAAAATATAAAATATACATCGGCGTAAAATATAAATGATGTTGATGAGAAAATATCATTTTACCGCGGAGAACAAAGTCGGATTGTATTGCAATAGAGAGGAAAAATTTATAACTTCTCCAGATATCTAGCAGGCTTTTGAATGACATGATTGTTCGAACTCAAATAAAGTGCATGTATCTCTCTTTCTCTCTCTCTCTCTCTCTCTCTCCCTTTCTTTCATTCTTTTGCCATGGATTGCTAGCTTATCGCCGGAGAATATCACTGTTCCTTCGTTAATGTTAAAAATGTGTCAGAACGATTAGACTATGTAAAGAGCTCGTCGACCCTCCTCTTCAGGGTCGAGACGCTTGAACGATATTTTTATCATCATGCGTGCTCTCATGCCTCATTATATTTCCTCTTTTCCCGATTATTCTTATTTTCCCTGCTTATTTTGTTTACAACGAGTCATTTTCGTAACTGATAATTCTCACGCGTTTGAAAGTAGTACACTTGTTTACATTGTATGTATTTTAACATTTTTAACATCAAGAAAAACTATCATTTATTGCATCTTTCTAATCTTTAATCAATGTCTATTATATACATATACAGGTTAATTGAAACTGTATATTTTTTTGTTTAAATCTTAGATTACAAAGAATAAATTTCGAGATTTCTGTTGAATGCTTCAAGACAATATATATAGACTTGTAATTTGGTCTATAAAACATAAGCATTGGACATTTTTATAATCTTCGCGATAAATGACGACGTGAACAAACGCAATAAAAACGAAGAAATACTCTTTTTCGCGATTAAATACGAAGCGCACACGCAGGTTCTGCTTTGTATGACTCACGAATTACAGCTTTTCGATTGAGGGTGAGATCCCCAAACTTGAACTACCCCTCGGCCAGAAAAGTATCGCAAGGGAGGTTTGCCTCCTTCGCCACACACATATATTGCTTGACAGTGATTCTCAAAGTGAAATTATCTCGTCATCTTCAATTGTTCATAATTAATGTTGCTATAGTATTTTAGGAAATTATCATTCGTAAGATTTAGAGTGTTTCTAACTTCGGTTTATTACAAAAATAACAAGTTTTCTAGAGTTTATTACTTTATTCGAGAATGTCGCAGTGATAGAAAATTGTACTCAATTATAACAGTTTGGTATAAATTTTCATAAAATTTCTTGAAATCCAGTATATTTCCTTGAAAATTCCCGTCAGTTTTCTTGAGAAATTTTACAAAAGTTGATACTGAGAGAGTTTTTAGAGAATAGACATATAAACTTGAATAAGTATCTACTTCACAAGCTTTGTTTTCAAGAATAAAACTACATTGTGTGTACTCTCAATGAATATTTATCTTAAATTTTCGAGAACAACTTTCTCGAGACATTCCGACTCTTCTAACAGAAACAATTTGGTTCGTGCTTTTAGATTTCTACCCAGTAAAAATGTATTTCATCTTTCAAAGAATCTGCCGACATCGACTGAGACGAGATGCAAAAAAAGCCTACCGTAACATATATATTTCAATAAACTTAATATATAATTTCGTAATTTTGAATTAAAGATTAAGCTTGAGTGGTAAAACTTGCGTCTTTTTCTCATAATTAATTCACATATCATCATTTATATTTAAGTATGCTTTAACTTCAAAATATTCTTTGATGTGCATAATATATTTTTTAAAAATATGCTTCTTATGGCAAATATTATACATGCCAGCTCACAATGTGCTAGAATAAAGTATAGATGTATGCAAATACCAGACTAGTACATGTCACGATTAATCAATAATTTCTAAATCTGATTTTGGGACTCATGTTTCAATTTTATGTATAATAAAGATCAGTTTCTTAAATTATAAAAGGTGGAAATCGTGAAGATATTGGGATGAACAAAACCTGCCTTTAAAACCGATATTCATAGTCAGTTATTACATTCAAGACTATCTTAAGTACAATCTTGAGATGTCATAAACCAATCAGAGAGCCGTATTAGCATCTTAAAACATTACTTAAGACGGTCTTGTAATAAAAATAGATTAAACAGATTATATGTAGGCAGTACTCATAATCCGTTCTTATTTTAAGACTATCTTAAGTAATGTTTTAAGATGCAAATACAGCTCTTTGATTGGTTCACGACATCTTAAGACTGTACTTAAAACGATCTTGTTTATATAAGAACCGACAACACGAAGGGAATTTTTTCTTAGAGTTTATTCCGAAAATGTGATAATAATGTTAACAACATTATATTGTATTTCAGAGAATTTTATGTAAATTTCTCTCATTCATTAATAAAACTACAATAAAATATAAAATAAGTTTGATTAATTTTACTGAAGTGGTAAAAATCTTTAAAATATCACAACTATCATATTTTCAGGGTAAATTTTAAGAAACAATTCTCTCCGTGTATGAATATATCAGCCTAAGCTTCAAGTATAAAGTTCAAAAACACGTTAAATGCGCTATATTATTTCATAAGACGATATATTCGTCCAGCGCAATAATACATAAATATTCGCAATATATCGAGGGATAAAAAAAGAGCAATAGAAGAGGAGCTTTGCAAGTCGAAAAATGTATAACGCCGCGAAGTAGCCATTAGCTCGAGATCCATGTCGCAACGATCATCCCGTTGTCTCGCTTACCGAGATGGGCTCGCCGTTCGCCTTTTCTCCATCCAGTATCCTCTGCCTCAGGGCGAGTCTGTCCAAGCTAGCGAGCCTGTAGCTACCACCGGTCTCGCGTTCCCTAGTGAGTCGTTCAGTCGTACCACCGCCGTTATTCGAGCCGGCATTAAAGCTCGACGTGTACTTGGGCAGGGTCGGCGGCGGCACCTGCCGCACCTTCTCCCGGCTCAGCATCGTGCTGCTGCTGTAGAGGAAGGACGAGTTGCTGTTGTTGGGTAGGCCGACTCGGCCGCCGGACGACGGTGAGACGCCCGACGACGCCGTGGACGATGAAGATGACGATGATGACAGAGGCTTGATGCCGTTGCTCTGGGCGCCGCCCGCGGTACCGTTCTGGTTCTCCGTCGTCGACATGTTTTCACCACGCGGAGCGGCCTTCTCTTTCTCTCGCTCGTTCCTCCCGCAGGAGATCGCCGCGGGAACTCGACAGGGGATTTAACCCTTAAACCGAAAACCGAGAGATGCTTAACGAGTTCGCTCGTGTGACTCTCATTTGACTATGTACTCGACACGACAGTATCACGTATCCGTATTGCATAAGTACGTGTATAAAAAAAAAAGGTTCATGTAATGACTCTCGTGCGAACGCGTTAAACAAAAACGTGTCTCTGAGACATCAAGGCGTTCTGGTTGCGAAATATTTGATTTTCATTACTTTCTTTATTTTTTTCATAATAATTTATTCGTAATAATATTCATTTATTTGGTCTTTTTAGTAAGTAAAAACGGTACTTTCAATGTTAATTGATTTATAGTCTAATACATGTATAAAAGATAATGTACATATATAATATATTACTGCATAATAGAAATTTGTTAATATCATTGCGTCTCAGAAACCGTTTTGATTAAAAATTTTTAAGTATAAGAGCTGCGACAATTGCAATTACCGTACGCAGTTTTATGAAAGAGAGTCCAAAGCTGGGTATCGATCGAATAACTTTTTCTTCAGAACGGAAAAGTGAAATTTTTTTATGTATGTACACATACAAAAAATTTTCACTTTCACGCCCTAGGGAAAAGGTTACATGATTGACTTCTTATAAGAAATTGTAGATGCAGTGAAGATTCGAGTGATGCAAGGCGTATGAATGCATGTAACTGTAAATCGACCGTGTGTTTCGGAGCGACCGATCGAAAGACTGAATGACCCCGTAAAACTATTTGGAACTCACTTCAGCAGAAACCATCTGCTCATTGAGCGAGCTTCTCTCACGCGATGATGAATTTATCCCTGCCTATCCAATAATGAAAGGAACGATCTACTGTTCTAATTAAACAGATACCTGTTTTTCTTATTTTTGAACTTATTTAAGCGTACATAAAAAAAAAAAAAATTAATAAATTTTAGTAAATATTATTTGAAATTCTAAGTAAATACTTAATAAATGTAAAACATATATTTATTTGATACAAAAATTTAATCATTAATTTAACTTCATTTTTTTCTTGGGTAAATATTTATTATTCAAAGAGATATGTATTGAGATGTAGTAATTTTTTTTTCCGTCCAGATATAACAATAAATGCAAACATTAAGATAAGTATATTATTGTGTTGTCAAAAAATAAATATAAATATATCTTCTTTTTCTTATCAAGTTTTTAAACAGACAAAAGATCTTATAATAAACAAATAAATACTAGCTACGTTTCTCAACATTTTCTGTGATATTTTTGTGTATCGATGATTTCAATATGAACGATTGTGATCGATAATTTATGTTTGCAAAGTCGCCGCGGAGGGAAAAAGGGAGAAGCCTCTTGATCGTGGCGCCGGCAAAACACGTCGAAAACCGATACGCAATGAAACGGTTTTGTTTATCGTTGAAAGAGTGGTACTCCACGAGACGAGAGCCATCCGGCTCGTTTTACGCGCCACGAGGATAACCGGACGACTACGATGAAAGACGGTGTTCTCGCTTCGGCTTCTTGGGTATCTCACGAACGAATGGACCAGCAGCATTTCCCGGGATCGATCGATAAACAGGGAAAACGTGAATTTAAATGTGAGGACTGTAGAATCAATACTTGTACCTTCTACGATCCTTCTTTCGATATTCAAATAGAAGTGCAACGTTATTCTGCGTCTAAATGTTTCACACTGAATGATAATCTGTATTGACATTTCAGAAAATTCGATGTTTAATGCAAATTAAGAGAGCTCCATAATTATGTTACTGTCAACTACATTTATTAATGGTGAACTAAATATCTTGAAGTCTCTATAATATCTCCATTTATGTGTGAATTTGTTTCTCAATTCAATGAAAAAATGTCGATAAAAAGCTAATAAAAGAATAATTAAGAATCTCATAAAAACTAATTGGATACAACGAGGTAATATATAGATTTGTACACTGAGAGAAGTGTTCTAATTACGAGTAAACTAACAAAAAGCCCAACAGTAATGGCATTTTAGTAAAAATTTGATTATTATTATATAAAAATTCTCCGTTTGATCTCCTCAAAATATCATTTTGTTGGTTTAATCGAAACATTTTTTTTCAATATACAACTCTCTGTGTTATTCTATTGCCTAATTAACTTTTCATTAGAATTTTAATTATTCTATGATAATCAGAAATTTTGTTTGGCCTCAAAATGTTATTCTTGTTAGACATTTTTGTTGGTCTATAATCAGAACATTTTTCTCAGTATAGGAAATTACATTTGTTGCAATTGAAAATATATTTTTCTGCATTTTTCTATTTCTAATGGTTACATTCAATCAATCTGTATTTTATATCGCTCTTCTAACTCGATATCGGAGTTACGAGTTGTTTACGCATGATCACCCAACGTTGACTCACCGGCAGTCGTCTGTGTTTCGACTCATGTATGACTTCGATATCAGGAATGCATTGCAGTAAAAGTAATCGCGTTTAAACCGAATCCTACGAAAAAGCTTGCTCTACCGCTTCCGTCTAACTTCGCCGAAGGAAGTGAAAAGAGCGTTCTGTGAATGCGAGACGAAAATTGCGAAGAGGCTGCTCCTAATATTCACTTCTAACAATGTAGATTAACTTCAATCTCAGTTTAATTTACTTTTAGTTCTAAGAAATAAAAGAAGATAAATTAATCCAAGATTAAAGTTAATCTATGTTGGCAGAAATGAGCTGAATGTCCGTTTCAATATAGACTAATTTTTAACTCGGCTCCAACTTACTCTTTATCTTCTTTTAAGTCTTGCAACTAGAGAAAGATGAAAAGTTAATTAAATCAAGATTAAAATTTTAATTACAAGTGTACATTAATTTAACCATCAAAACCTAGTATTAGATCTGTTCTATCCAGTCTAACATCTTTTCATCTCTTCCCTTTTTTTTCTCTGTGAAGAGAAAAAGAGAAAAGATGAGGTGCAAGAAGTCCAGCTGAAAAAAACAAATCTATTATTTCATACGGATTTGCGTGCGTTAATGAAACAGAATTCAAGTCTCTTTCTTCGTCCTGCAAGCAGAATTACTCAGGGAGGGACTTCAAAAACCGGTACTGTTTCGTCGAATGCAATTATCGACGCGTGTAAATACGGAGGAAAAAGCACCCCGAGGTGATCGTCGCGTTTCCATTGTCGCGGATAAACATAGAGGTCACTTTCAGTGCGCCGAAAAATTATACCGGTTTCACCGTCCTCGTGTGGAAGGTAGAATGAGGTAGAAGGAGACAGTATTGCATTAACCGGAGTCACCGGGTTCGCGTGTCCGCTTGAGAGAGCGTTTCTCGCCCCCAAGGGAATAACGTGGAGCTTCCCGACGATCATACGTCGTCATTCAAACTGATTACCTCAAGAGTAGACCTTAAGTCGACGTACATCATGCCAGAATATCTTAGCCACGATTTCACTCATATTTGACTATTAACCAAGGTTTAACTTATTCCTCATCTCTCTCCAATGCTAGAATTAAAAAGAAATAAGAAATAAGTTGAACTTCGATTATGAATTAACTGTGAGTTGTGAAACTGAGGCTCAGTTCAACAACTCACATTAACTCTTAACAGAGGTTCAACTTGTTTCTCATCTTTTTCCAATTCTATAATTGGAAAGAGACAATGAATAAGTTGAAGTCCTCGGTTAAGAGTTAAACGTCAGGAACTGGGCCTGAGCCTTATTTAGCGAGAACACCGTCGAGCACATGCACTCGTTCGCCCCGAGATCGAGATACCGCGACACGCTCGCTGCGTAGGTGGTGCGCGCGCGGGATACGAGGGTTGTTCTCTGGGGGAGAGAGAGAGAGATAGAGAGACAGAGACAAGGAACAGAGCGGATCGGAGAATGAACGAGAGTACGCGCGCGCAAGACAGAGTGAGAAGGAAAAGGGAGACGCGTCGCACTGCGTGGGCCCCTCGAGGCCCGAGAAGCCGGCGTTGTCGATGATTCACGCCGTTGGCGAACCGGCCGAATGCAGCGGCGTTTTCACTCTCATTTCACGTGCGGGTTCGTCGCGCGGGAATGAGAGAAGAGAAAGAGCGAGAGAGAGAGAAAGAAAAGAGCGCCGAGTAAACGCAGGTATACCTATCCACCGCGCACGAAGCGAGACGCCACAGTTCCACACTACCGCGTTCTCGAGATGAACCACGACAGACGCGCGAAACTATCGCCGCGCCCGACTCGGATGAACTGCGTCGACCACGCCTGACGCAGCTGCCGCGGGCGCGAGGGGGAGAGCGAGAAAGAAAGAGCGAGAAGGAGAGAAACTTCATACGCCAATCGCAGCTATCGGTCGCGACGACGCGAGCGCCGCCGAACGATCGCGTGGACCAATCAGAGCGTCCGCCGAGACGGCGCGAGAACGAACCCGAGTGATATCGAGCGTCGATACTGCAGCGCCGCATCGGCTTGCCATGCCGCTACCTTCAATCCTTTACAAGGGCTTTGAACGGTGAAGCACTTTTGATTTCATTCGTCGCGACTTTTATGTAAAGACTTTTGTACAGTCGACCTCGCACCTTGTTAGTCTTTATTTTATTCGTTGTATCAATAAGTCTCCTATTTTTTTATATTTAATTTATTAATTTCAATTACATGATTACAGATTTTATTGTGATTCTCGACTCCTTTTGGGTTCACAAGCCACTTGGCCTTGCAATTAGCCTGCATGAGCGATAAAGTCTATATTTGTGTTGACTTATATTGTCACTAAATGGGTGCCTTCCATTTAATGACATAAATCAACTAAATATCGTTCTATCTCTCTTTGCATTTTATAAGTAATAAAGACAGAACACGATATTTGTCGACTTATGTCACTAAATGAAAGGCACCCATTATTTTTCTATTTGCAGCTTGAAAAATAATACAATTATATTTTTGGTTCACCGAAAATGGCTCGGAAAAAAAAATGAAACATTTAACTTTTGTACTTATTAAAAAAAGTACATTAAATAATTAATTTGCACTCTAATTATCGCGAATTTTGACTCTCATTCGACCTACATTTCCCTTTTTTTTTTTTAATTTAGACAGTCTATTGTGTATATTATTATTTTATGTAAACGCTATTTCGGAGACGATAAACTTATTCTGTTTAGTTGCACTTCTTGCACCGTTCATCTTGTCTCTTTTTTTTTCTTCAATACGGAGAGAAAAAGAGAAAAGATGAACGGTGTAAAAAGACTGAAGATAGTGTAAGAAGTTCAGCTGAAAAGAACAGGCCTTATATTCTTTCCTACGATTGATCAGAGGATTAATAAAACATGTCTCTACATTCTGTAAAAAGTTTAGGAAATAAAAACTTAAAATTCTTCGATTACATTAACAATACTGGGCACCTATTGATTCTGTTTAAATATATACTTATCGTTTTCAGAGAACTGAATATTAATCATATTTTAAATTTAAATATATGAACCAAATATTATTTTCAATAAATAAATATTATTATTTTCCATAAATAAATTGTTCAATTTTCGAAATCGAATTATTATTAAATTTTTGCAAGATACTCGATATCATTTTATTGGAGATATTAATGCACATTGCGGGCAATTATTATTGAAAGACTGCAGGAAACGTATTTATTAATATTTAACAAGCTCGTAAATGCAATTAATTATTATACAATTAATTGCCTCCAATTAAGTATAACTAATAATTAATTGTTAATAGTAATATAGTTAATTAAATTTCGTTAATTATTAATAATTTAATTATTAATCACTCACATGAAAATACATGTAGAATAAATACAAATTTTAATTCAGTAGTTACGATTTTCATTCCATTTCCAAGAAATATAGAAAGTATCAATTTTATAAGTCTAGAGAAATACAACGATTAATGTAAAAACTATTAAGATGTAAGAAAATTATAATTGTCAGAAAAATCGACTTGGCGATTACTGTGACAAAATGGCAATTATTGTTTCGATTAAACGTAGCTTGCAAAATTACAAGAATATGGAGAATATAGAATGATGAAACCAATTTTATCGAATGACAGAAGATTCTCATATCATAGCATCGCGTCGACTAATCACGCACTCAAAACAATGGCTGTTTTGAACCTTAAGTGATTCGAGCACGCATACGCGCCGCTCTTGATGTCAACGTTCTCGCGATCGCGATTGTCTTCGTCTCTCGATGAGATGCTTGTTATTCGAGCGCGTCCACTAGGAAGTAAGCACGGCGGCAATCGTACTCGTTTTGCGGCCTTAATTGGACATTGAGTTAATAAGAGCACCGAACTGTCGAGACCGCGCGTGCCTGCGTACGTGAGTGCGTGCGTGCGTGCGTGCGTGCTTGCATGCATGCATGTACGAAAGAACGAAACAAGAGTAAAAAGAATATCTCGAACGGAATGCAGTTCGTGACAATGGCATCGTCGGTTCTCGACTCGCGAAGTCGGATGGAAACTCTGACTTCTTGAGGATTCCTTCGCCAATCTCCTCGAGTAATCTGACATTATCTCGTACATTAATCAAGTCATTACGCATAGAGATTGATAGTTTCTTATTGTAGATTGCAAATATTCATATATTATTGTTACGCATAAAATCATAATTTAATATTTTTACAAATGTCATTCAATCCTCTCTAAAAAATTTAAAAAATTAATCCATTTAAACAAATTTCTTAATTTTAGAATCCCTTTCTTTCTAAGAAACTGATTCATTTTTTTCTAAATTTCTTAACTTTGGAGGGATTCCAAATTTTTTCTAAGAAGTTCACCTACTCTCTTTTTCTAAATTTCTTAATGAACACTTGAGCACAATTTATTATCAATTATCTCTTATTTTGAGGAATCGCTCAGTCCATTTATACGACACTGCTCTAGCAAGCATTGAAATTCAACTCATTTAAGGGGATCCTAAAGTCGTTCTGTTTTACCATGATTACGTTTTAAGAAAAATCTCCAACGAATTGGCTTCATGGGTCGCAAAATTTTTTTTACAGAATTAAAGAACGCACAAAAAGATCCCGGAAAACACGATTTCACGAGAAAATTGGAAAAAAATTAAAAAATTCACTTTTTCTGGCACGTACAATTGTCACCTGAGGTTAATATTTGTTTGATATAAAAGTTTTACAGCTTGTAGATTGAAAATAAGTGTGAGTAGAGATTCCGATTACTTGAACAATCCTGAGTTTGCAAAATTGTGATCGAAGGCAGAAAGATTTTTCAAAATTAAAGTCATATTTTTTATATAACAATTACTTTTTTTCTCTTTTATAGATTCGACAATCCTTTTCCAGAATTAAAGTGTAGATTAATCATAATTTTTGTAAAGTGTAGACTAATCATAATTTTTGTATAACAATTACTTTTTTCCTCTTTTACAAATTCGAAAATCTTTTTCCAGGATTAAAGTATACACATTAATACGTGTTTGTGAGATGGAATTTATTCCGAGAATGATAAAAAAATTTCGAAATTGAAATCTTAAAAAAAATTGTTTGTCGACATAAACTCCACCTCACACGTTATATTAATGTGTATAGTTTAATCCTGGAAAAAGGTTTTCGAATTTGTAAAAGAGAAAAAAAATAATTGTTATACAAAAATTATGATTAGTCGGTAATACAGATAGTCGGTTTTAGGATCCTCTTAAGCCAGAATCGAATTGTAAACTAAGATTGAGATTGAAGTGGAATTTAATTAATCAGAAGAAAGAAAACCAAGTTTAATGAATTTATTACATTGCTCAAATTTCGATCTAATCTCAATCCTAATCTGTAATCTGCTACAAGCTTATTTATATATGACTCGCAGTCATATTTGGTAGAAAGAGTATTATCGTTATATGCGAATGAGATGTATTACAGCTACCTGTTGAGACTCTTGATTCTTCTGGGAATTATATCTGGCGAGAACAGCCGGATTCAAGCGACGTCTTGACGCCACCGTTGGCGTGTCTGTTGTCGACATCGCGTCGACGTTCATCCAATTGCTTAATGGTCAAATTGTAACTCGATATGCGGAAAATGTTTCACTTTCACAAACACGTTATTACGACATGAGTAATTCGGCGACTCACTGTATATACGAAACACGAGGAATTGCGATCAGGAATGAGCCCGAGAACGAGAACTTTGCACAACGAGCTCGGTTTTCTCACCATTCGATCGCTTTTAAACGTTAATGTGTCTGATAGCAAAATGGGATTGGCCGATAAAAGTCGAGACTGAAGGGGTTTTTATCTGTTCGTGACTTTAAATTGCCACTGTGGTTTGAAACCGGAACGACTTGTGTCGTTCTGCGGTTTGGCAATCAGTGAAATCAGAACAGCACGAAGCAAGAATAAGTTAAAAAACAATACTGCACCGTCCAAAATCATCGAAATCGTTTCGAGTTCACAAATGCACTTAATTACCACACAAATTATTAAATTTTATGATTAACAAAATGATTAATCAGAAGCGTAAGATTAACAAGGAAGTATAGAGAAATGTTTCCCATTCCAATTTTAATAAGTTTTTATTATGATGTATTTTTTTATATACACTTTTAGAGGATAAATATCCAATTGTTAGTTTTTTTTAAAGCAAATATTGTCGAAACTTACAAAATGAAAAAAAAATTTTTAATAAAAGTTAAATAAATTCAAGAGAACTGTATAATATCAAAAAATTTTTAATATCAATAAATTTTTAATAAAGAGTTGTTAATAAAAAATTTTTTAAAACAAATATTTAAAAAATGATTTTGTTTCAATATTGTATCAAGAGAGAGTACTCAGAAAACCATTTAATTTTTATAAAAATTTTTTCCATCCTTTATAGTTTCAATGATATTTGAAAAAATTCGAAAAAAAATTTTCTTCAAAAAAGGTGTTTTATCTCCCTAAAAGTGGGATACGTAAAAAAATATTGTTCCTTATTTTGATTTGAATTTAGACAACATACTAAAAGTTCAAAATCGGAGAAGGATCACCTTGTGCTTCTATGTAAGTTGAATATACAATAATTTACGCCAGTATAGTATCCAATTCCAAGAATCGTAGAAGGACACTGATGTCATAATACAAGTTTAGAGATAATAATAGTACCGTAGAAAAACAAACGGAACTAAGTAGAGAAATAAAATCTACAATAAGTGTCTAGCAAATTGTAATTGTGGGCGTTGCTTTCCAAGTTTCCATGCAGATTAAACGTTTTAAAAGCAAAAATAA